GATATAATTTACAATCCAATTAGTCTCCACAACACATCTTTCAAGGCAACCATGGATGACCTACCTGCAGGACTCCCTCAGATTATAAAAATCAAATAATGTTACCTAACGAGTAATGTCTTTATGGTTAGTCTGAGAATTCCTCTCTTTCTCACCACATGTCAGCATCCCAACTTAGAGCGAGTAATGAGTAGACAGAGTTGAACTGAGATGGTCTCAAATTTGGTTTTGAAGTAAATTCTGACTATTTATATCATTAAACAATGTCAGTGACTAATTGGAAGCACACGGATTCCCAGAGCGTGAAAACTTGCTGCATTGATCAAGCCTGACTAGGCTTAGTGTTAGTGTGTTACAGATCATTTTCCTTTCTTTCCATTTCAAAACAAATGAAGCCAAGTGATCTTTTTAATGACAAGACTGCTGTCCTTGAAATTCACTGTTAACTAAAAATGTTAAAGATTACAACACAAGTCCCGTTTTATTGTTCTATCTTGTAATAACATGAGCAGGCTGCAGCTAAAAAGCATTAAAACCACACAGCAACATAACCACTTACCCAAAGATTTATCTACCATGTAATATAGAGTGCAGAGGTGGCAGACAGCTGTGGAAAAGGCACCAATAGTTCCTGCCATCTTGCTTCACAATGTAAATTTTACAAGGGAAAGTCACACAGGCAGAAATATTATTTTGCAACGCAGCTAAACACATCTGGGTACAAGATGCATGCTGATCCCAAATTTTAAGGGGATTGGAGTTATGAAGTGAACCTTATGTTTGAACATATGTACAGTACACAAAGTCATAACTGCAGCTCAAGTATATTTATTGGAGCTTTAGGTGATGTGCAGTTGTATTTATGCAAATATAACAGATAACCAAGATTTATTGTCCTGGCAGAAGCATCATACTTTCTAGATTTTTTGGTTTACTCAGAGATAGAGGTTTTATATTGTTAGTAAAATTATGTATTTTATGACCTACAGTAGACAACAGCGAAAGTGCTACAGACCAAATACTAGTGTTGTAGTACTCGAAACTGGTCTAGGTCTCGAGACCGGTCTTAAGACCACTTTTTGATGGTCTTGGTCTCGTCTCGGACTCGACCGCATTTGTACTCTGTTCGCTCTCGAACATTTAGGACTCATTTAGGATTTTATTTCAAGACCATTACTTTGGGAATATCAATAAATAGCTTGTGCTTTGTCTAATTTATTTGTTAACTTCCTAACTTTGACTGGATGTAAAATGTATTTCTACAAACGCAACCAATAACCCTAATTAAAAAAAGTACTGTTTCTGTTAACGACTGTCACCCCTCCCCAGAATGCTTATGTTGATTTCAGCTTTTAGTGTTTATATGTGGGTGTTTTAATGGTAATGTGGATCTTTCAGATCAGTTTGAGAAGTACCTATGATCTCCATCCATCCATCCATCGTCAACCGCTTATCCTGCGTACAGGGTCGCGGGGGGGCTGGAGCCAATCCCAGCTACACAGGGCAAAAGGCGGGGTACACGCCAGTCCATTGAAGGGCCACACATAGACAAACAACCGCTCACACTCACACCTGCATGTCTTTGGATGGTGGGAGGACGCCGGAGCACCCGGAGAGAACCCACGCGGAGAACATGCAAACTCCACACATTTTATTGTGTGTTATGTAATGTGGGGAACTGGTCTTAGTCTTGACTCTGTCTTGGTCTCGGCCCCTAAAAGTCTTGGTCTTGTCTTAGTTTCTATAAACTCTTGTCTTGGCCTTGACTTGGTCTTGGTTTGGGCGGTCTTGACTACAACACTACCTACAGTTGAAATCTCAGAGCTGCAATGATAACCTTAGCCCACCATGACCACTGCAATGTGCTGTCTCCTTCAGCTACTGCCAGACATGTACTTCTACAGGCCACTTGCATCCGGCCTTCTATATTATTTACCGTGCACACTAAATTTTAATGAACAAATATCATGAGGATGTGGACTTATGTCACTGGATTTCCGTGAGTAAGTGAAGCAACACCACAAGAGAGGAAGTAGGCAAGCAAGGCATAGCCAGAGGTACTCGGCATCGCTTGCTTGATTAATTTCCCTTTGTTCCAATAATCTGTTTGCTACCTTCACTAATTGCCACATTTCACGAGGCAAGGAGAAGAGCCCCGATTAAAAAAGTAATAGACACTTAATTGTTCTGGGATTAGTTGACTTTCTTAACAATTAGAAAATCATTGCAGAAAGTGTAGGTGTTGATTAGATTTATTTGTAATGACAATTTACCTGTCTGTATATGATCCTTACTTATATACACAGGTGCAGTGCACGTCCCTACCAATATTTGAGCAAACTCATTTGCATTATCCTGCAAGTGAAGTCATATTAAATAACTCAGATGTGACCTACCAGAGGCTATGTCAGATTATTGGTTGAGATACATGTGACTATTGCTTAGCCGTTATTTCAGAACCATGGACAGCGCTGAGAGAGAGAGAGAGAGAGAGAGAGAGAGAAGAGTAGGTAGGAGAGAGGGAGAGAGTCTCACACACACACACGCTTACTGTTTTATTTATTTATTTTATTTTTTATTTGAATATATTTAAAAAAAATTCACACACACACACACACACACACACACACACACACACTTTCATAGGCTTTAATTACTTGTTTAAAGAAATGTATGGGGTTGATCGTTCTTATGTAGTTTGTATGATGCTTTGGCAATATTGTTGTTATACATTCATGCCAATAAAGCTAATTTGAATTTGAGAGAGAGAGATACAGAGAGAGAGCAGCAAGCCAAGCCAGCTGTTTCTATATACCTCCCCCTGCTGATTTTGACAGAGAATCATTCATAAAATCAAAAAATATTTAGTGCTCTGACTGCTACGTTCTTATGTAAGCGCTCTGATTAATAAATGTAGCCTTCAATTTTGAAACAGTTGCCTTAGGGCTTGTGTCCATGTAGCGTTTTTCTTTCTCACCTCACAAGTGCTTCATCCCAGCACTCCTTAGCGCCCTGCCAGCGCTTCTCTACCAATGTTGAGACCAAAACTATTCCCTTGCTGTCATGAATAAAGACATTTAAAGCTATATTTTTAGTGTATATACAAGTGGCCCTCAAGGATTTTTGCAGCCTGTTGCAACAGCTGTGTGTAAGTTCAAACTTAGCCTAGTTATGGCGTAAATTATTACTAAGTTGTGACTTGCATGCATTATTAAAATAAAAGCGGTTGCACCACGGAGATAACATGAATAAAGTAACAACTAAATAGTTACACATGCCCCAGGGTAGGTATAATTCTAAAAATGTCACAGAATTATACTTATTAATGGTAAAACAGCAGTTTTTCTGCTACAAAGCATCATGTTTCATTCATGTCATTTTGCAACACAGTAATCCAGTAGAAACCTAATTTATTGATATGATTTTTCAATATTGATCCAGTTTACTACAATGTGCTATGATGACAAGTGGCTCATGCCAGTCAGAAAGCTAATGTGCACAGTAACCATGATGGAACTCTTATCTTTGATTGCTGATAGACCACTTGCCTTAACTGCAACTTTACATCCAAACTAATTAGGTTCTGCCCTAAGTAACTGTGGTGCAACCAATGTTCGTAGCTGATTTAATTACAAACTAACTAGTAAAGAAAGTTTTCCAGTTATATTTTTATCATTTGATAAATACAGCCATGGTTAAGTCTTTTATTTTAGCCACAGATCTGGAGAAACTTAGCTATGCCTTCATCTCCTCACGCCTCGACTCTTTTAACTCTCTATTTAATGTACCTATCTCAGTCTGAAATTAATTCATCGCCTATAATTAGTCCAAAATGCTGCAGTTCGACTTTAAACTTGCTGCAAAAAATGCGTACATGTCACCCCCATTTTAGCCTTCCTTGCACTGGCTGCCTGTTTCTTTTGATTTAGAGGCCAGGCATGGGCTGGTGTTGCTTGCGATTTCGAGGTCCAGGCTAAAAACCAAAGAAGACAGGGCCTTTGTTGTCAGGGCCCCTACACTCTGGAATAATCTACCAGAGGAGATCAGGCTTACAGAGTCTGTTCCTGGTTTATTTCATTTCTCACATTTCCACAAAAAAGCTTTCACTGTGTGATGCATATATTATTTTTACATTATTTGTATATCAACTTGTTAATGTTTAAATTATTAATTATAAACCAATATGTGATAAGTAATGTATTTTTCCTTTATTTGTACATTGACTTGTTTTATGTTTTATATTCTTCGTTGTGCCCTGCGATGGACTGGCGAACTGTCCAGGGTGTACCCCGCCTTTCACCCTCAGCTGGGATTGTCTCAATCACAAATTCACATTTTAAAATCACAATCTGCACAAACTCAATGAGTTATCTGGACTATTAGGATGTCCTGAGCTGATCCACAGGATCAGAACATGGCCCAATTCATGCGTTCTTTGAAGGACAGTTAACCAATATATATAGCTTGATATAAGTATTCCAGCTGTCCAATACAACCCAAGCTATCATTTAGTTTATGCCTATAGTAGGATAAGTGTGAACTGTGCAGCTGTAATATATATGAAAACGCGGTATATATAAAAATAATAATCAGCCTTGATTTACAGACTAACATTTTTCCATACTACTGAGTAATTGTCAGAGTCATAAAGGAGTTTGAACCTTTAAAAAAAACAAACCACGTATAATAAACTTTTGTGTGCACAATGGGTGGTGTAGTATTTCACAAGGAACAATGCTTTTATGAGATCAGATCTACTGATTGCTTCCACAGCAAAATATGTCATTATACACTATGGCAGCTCAATGATAATCTATTTTACACTGTGAAAGCTTAAGGTAAAATGTAAATGGATGGATTTCACTTCTTTTGTTTTGGTTTGTTTAACAAAGCTTAACATGATTAAATACCTGAGATGGTCAGATAACTTTAGATAATGATAATTTTAAATAATTTGCCTTAACAATCAAATCCATATTAATCTGGCCATCCTCACTCACCATGGCCAGAGGGATGATGGCTTGAATATCTCGCTGCACTACCGTCAACTCCGTCACCACCTTCTCTGAATCAGGAAGCGGGTTCTGCCCCTTGTAGTCAATGTTCCAGTTGATCCTTCTGGTCACCGAGAGGCTGGTGAAGTTCTCCATCTCGAAATCCAACTGCATCACCTCGACATTGCCCAAGACATCCCTGCCAGACCATATAAAAACACACAAAAAACAATCAAAATTAAATATCAGTTACAGAAACATATTCATCAATTCTTGCAATGCATTCATTTGTGGTAAAGAAATTTTTGCCTGGATGACGGTTTTTAATTTTCTTTAATTAATTGTTTTTATATATTCCTGTACTCACATGTCGAGGTATTCTAAGTGTCATATTATTTGTGCTTGTCTGATTTTGTCTGTGCTTATGTAATTCGTGTTTTAATGTTTTATCCATGCTTCTGTGTTGTCTGCTTATGATTTTAAGTGCATGTTTTGTTTTGTTTTTTTAATGTTGTCTGTATGCCATGTTTTAATGTTCTTATAACATCAACCTGCCAGGGACTCCAGATGAAAATTAGTCTGTATGGCTAAATCTGGCTCATTCACATTTGGGCATTGTCCTTATGTTCGTTAATGTGCACTGTCCCTTTTAAATAAAGAGAGAGAGAGAAAAAAAGGCTTCCTTAAGTTATTCATGAGTTGAAATAAGAAATAATGTATTCATTAAGACTTCAACATGTGAAGCACTGCAAAATCTTTAGAGCTGAGTAGATACTTGTCAGATTATGTATTATAGTATTTGTTCTTTGTTCAAAGTCATCTTCTAAATCTGCATATCTAAAGGAACGCCTTTTGGTGAAACACGAAATAAAAATACAAGGACAGCATGTAATAATGCATATTTATTGAATCACTTTCAGAAAATGACATCATGGCTTTATTACCTTGAATTGTAAGTACTTCTTAGTCTCAAGATTTTCAAAGACCTGGTTGGAAGAATGAATCAATATCTGTCCCGAGATTATTTTAGAATAAAAGCCAGAATCTAGCTTTTGGCTTCCAGTGGCGTGTAATCAATATTCTGCATTTAGCAAAGCTCACATAAGTTTTCAGACTTGTTCATTGGCCTTTTAACCTGAAAAGGCCCCATCATAACATTTCATTGAGTTAACATCAGTCTAAACAGCTCTTACAGTCCGGTAGCTTTCAAACAGATCTGACAGACACAAGACACTTAACATACTATAGGATGTTAAAGGTCATAGTGTGCTGTTTACAACCTGAAGCTTCACAACTGGACAACAGACCTCCCCTTTGAAATGTAACCATGCTTTATGCATATAAATTTAATTTAATAGCTTCAAATGAAAAATAAGCAGCAAAAGCAATTCATATTCAGGTTTTGATATTAACACAAAAGCTGTAAAGAGACAATCAATTACTATTAACGGTTTTGGTTAATATAATTTTGTTGTCCAGCCATTATGATAAGTAGTTTCGGTTCAGATCTTTCTTGATTAAATGAAGTCAAGGTGAAGAAGCTGAAACTCTGCAAAAACATATTACAATATGATCCATTATCTCATGCTGCAGTTTAATCCTTTAGTGCCATATGCCTTTATAAATTATTTGTAGTTTTCATCTGGTCACAAACCCTGAATACAAAATGTTCCTTCTGTAAAACGAAAAGGATTTTTAGGCACCTGAATTGAGCCCTTCTTGAATGTAAGTAATTACGCATCAAGCTAATATGTCTCTTCATCTAATTTTTCAAGTTACATCCATCTTGAATCTTGTTGTCTTCCACTGAGGTCGGTCTGAACTCAGGCTTGGGACCCTCCCTGTGTTTTACTACCATTGGTGGTCGCCATTTCAATTTCATGCCTTGGACACAAACGTCTTAACAGCCTCAAATTGAACAAAATAACCACAGGGGCTCGACTGCTAAACATTATTTTCTCAACCCTGTCTATATTTTATTTTGTTTTGTCAAACCATCTGTGAAACATTCACTGTCGATGTACTGAATTATTTTTCTTACAATATCCCTCCTGGCAATTAAAGCATTACTAAGGTTTTTATGGTTACGTCCACCATTTACCTTTACGTCATTTCTAACATTCGTCACATCTAACAACACTTTATAAATTAAATGGATGTTGTAATGTAATGTTTAATGTATGACAGCATTATCAGATTTTGGTTTCAAAGTCCTGTGCTCTGTACACCCCACCATCCAGCCCGGCCACCTCTTGACGTTTGTGCTGTATGACTTTTATACTGTATAAGAATGTCACGCTTCCTGGTTTGGAAAACGTTTTTCTGTGAATGTAATCCAGACAGCAATCATATTTCCTCCAAAATGTATTTGGCAAAGCTTAGCCATAGCTGGTAAAGCCTCATGTCAGAGATCTCGGTTTATAATTAAGTGCTTCAGTGGAAAATCTGACTTTAGACTTTTACTATATGTTTCTACTTATGCACGGGGCTGTTGTGAACAGCATTAAAACTGATGAGAAGTGGCAGTCCAATAATGGCATTCCTGCTTAATTATATGGAGATATCATATGCTATGAATTAATCAGTGATTGTCTCTGAATAAAAACAATGTGCAGGTCTTGTCAATAAACAATCACCACTCACTAATCTTGCTGGCCAGCCTTCTTCTTCCATCTTCAGATGTAAGTGCAGAGCTTGTGCAAGGAGATTGCAAATTTGGTTCTGCCTCTCACTTTCAAATAACCATGATTGCAGTGGCTGCAGATTTGCTTCTGACCAATCAATAGCATTTTGGTAGGTAACAGGATTGTTCTGATGGCCATGCAAATGAAATATTTGAGCACTCTCTTTTTTGCATTTCTCTGCTGTGTGAAGACACCAAAGACTTCAGCTGGGATCTCCGTTTTTATATTGCAAACCTACCAGTGATGTTGCTGCGATAACAGAGCTTCTGTTATGAAAATCCGTCTTGTGGGGCTTGTAATCCTCAGGTTTAACAACCCTAACATGAAACTGTCTCACTTGTGGTGAAGGGGCAAATTAAATCTCTCTCTGCCCGTGACAAGAATCATCCCACCCAAACCTCACCTTCAGCAGAGAGTTAGGCGCTCGCTGTCTGTCCTTCACAAAAGCAGACACCTATCCTGCCATTCAGTCTGAGAGCCTTTTAATGAAAGCTGGATCAAACTATCTGTACGAGCCCCCTCCCACAAAAGGTTCCTCTCAGGAACATCGTGATGAGATCTCAGCCTATTTGTCTCGACATCACTCACTGAAAACAAACACCCCCATCTGTCTGTGACACACTAAAGCTGTCATCAATATGGCCCACTGGTACAGCCGCTCAATACAGTGTCGACTGCCACCATGCTGGAGGGAAGGAAAAATTATGTTCGCAATACACTGATTTGGGTTAGAGGGCATGCTTTTTCATCAGTGAAGAGTAAATTGTAAAAATGAAAGCAGCAGGAAAAGCAAAAGAAGAAAGACATTTCTTCTTCATATTGTGTTCAATGAGCTACAGTTACTCTTGACATTTTGACTTCTGACTCTGAAGAGCAGATTTTAGGAAATTTCACGTCACTGTCTGTTGGCACATGCCCTTATCAGAACCTGTTATTGATTTTCTTCTTTATGTTTGTATCTCCTTACATCATCTGTATATGTATTGTGACTGCAGAGTATTACAATGCAAGCTTCACATTTCACTTTGGATCTCTGTCCTGCCACTTAATGGCTCATGTGAGGGATGAAAGACTGAGATAACTAAAGAATAACTAAATCCATGACAATTTTTAGTTTAGTGTTTGTATCGCTAATGCTCTAGCTGCCATGTCTTATTATATATCCCTTACAATGTCTCAAATGGATTATAGGGTAATCTTCAATTCAAAATACTAAATTATGTAAGTGTTAGCTAATTAATGTCACTTGAGTCCGGTTACCAAGGTTTCAGAGGGGATAAAAAGGAAATGAAGAGGGAAATGTTATGGTGAGCTTTCTTGTACTGTGCTTTCTATTATCTTTCATTATTAAAATGAACAATCTAAATATTTCATGTTATTGTTGTATCATGAAATCTTCCAGCTTTAATAACACCTAATAGAAAAAAAGAATATATTATGGACAAACAAAATTCAACTTAAAAACATTTTTTAAAAGTAGTGGGCGGTGAAAACTTAGAGTAATTTCATACCAGAGGACGGTAGTAAATATGGCTCAAGAAAGTCTGGCCTTGTTTCCATTAAGTTAATGATGTACTGCCTGTATAGCACAAAGTATATATTTTAAAAGCTGTAGCTTGGGGCTTTTTCAGAGCTCAGGGGGACTTCATTCTTTGATCACAGGACTGTTTGAACTGATTAACAGGGAGAGTTCATTGGATCAAAGCACTGCAGGGCAGAGTTACAACAGCAGAAGAACAGAGATGGTGAACAGAGGGTTTAGTATGGTCCATGCTTAAAGGTTCAGTGTGTAATATTTCTGAGAATCTAGTGACAGAAATGCAACAAAAGATCCATAACTATTTTTTTTCAGTGGTGTATAAAGACCCTACATAATAAATTGTTATGTTTTTCTTAAATTAGAATAAGACATTTATATCTACATAACCGCAGGTCCCCCCTTCCATGGACGTCGCCATGTTGCATCGTCATGTTTCTACAGTAGCTGAAAATGGACAAACAGCACTACAGAGCGCGTTTCGTCACTACGTTCTTCTTGTTCTACTTCAGGTAGAACTCAGGCAGTGTTGACACTCATCGCTACATTGAATACATACGTACGTTCGAAGAAGAAGTAGTAGTAATAATATACCGCAGGGGTTGGCAAAAGTTTTGCATCGGAACAATTTTTTTAACCATTAGATGGTGGGTGAGAATATAGGACATAATATTGGATCCATAATTACAGAGAGAATTAATGTGTTTCCTTTGTCAGTGTTTGTATAAACTTTAATATGGGGTTTATAGTGGACTGGGGTGCAAAAACAGTGACAATGTTAGACACTCTTGGCTTACATTTTCCATATTGCCTGTCAGTGGCCAAGTCACAATAAAATATGGTTTTACTAAATAATTAAGTAAATATAATTTCTTAATACATCTACCTAAAGAAACCTAATTTCTTTACTGGCTTCTCTCTGCCGTCTCAGAAGACTACATCTTTTGTGCTGTGTCAGCTACCATAGCTGTCCTAAGC